GCCACGATCATCAATATATCATTATACCACCTAAGATCTCGTTAAGCACATACTCTGGCTCACAGTACGAGCATCTGACACCACCCTTTATTATCCTCTCTAGCAAGCACCACCTCTTAGCCTAGTATAAGGAGCCTAGTATACCTAACAACTAGGTTATTAGTGTCTCTAACAACAGCTAGACTAATAATAAGCTTAGAGTTAAGTAGTTAAAGCACTTTAATAAGCACATAAAGGCGCGCACTGTTGGCAGCTACTAACTACTTATTCTAGATAGCTACAAGAGCTATAACTTAGTTAAATTCTACTAGTACTGTAAGGAGCACAAGATTATTACTCTGTGTATGCCCCTACACTTATCCTATCTGCTACAGCCGCTTGACGTGGGTTGTTTCTCCCTATTGAAGAAGGCCTATGGCCGCCAAGCTGAGCAGCTAATGCAGAGCAAGATCACTTGCATCACTAAACTTGAGTTCTTGCTGTGCTTTAAAGCTGCTTTTAATGCTTTAATTACTAAGAGCAACATCTAGGGAGGATTTAGAGGCGCTAGCCTAGTCCTGTTTAACCTAGAGGCTGTGATATTAAAGCTTAAAGTACAGCTACACACGCTAACGCCACCTATTATAGACAACAGCACGTGGGAGTCTAAGACACTAAGCAATACCCTAGAATTTAGGTCTTAATTAAAGCTAATTTAAGAGAGGATCTAGAGACATACTAATAGCTTACTAATATTAATAGTTAACGCCCTTAATTAGCTTACTAAAGGCGCAGAGCTAATAGCGCATTTACTAGTTTTAGTGCGTAACTAGGTTGCTAACCTTTAGGTAGCTAATAAGGCTACTACACGCTGTAAATTACACAAAAGAAAGCAAGTACAGCAAGATAGGGTATTAACCTTTGCTAAGGGAGTGTGGCTAACTACTCTAAAGAAGTTTAAGGCCTATAGTGATAGGAAGAAGGCAAAGAAGAGAGGAGGCGCTAATAGCAGCACTTAGTTATTAAGACACTATAGCATGTGTGGCAAGGCAGGGCACAACAGGATAACGTGTAAGAAAGATGCGCAAAAGTACTATAGATTAGTGCAATATACTGTGTAGTACATGATATTGTTGTTGTGTGCTGTAATGTTGTAAAGTAGTTGTAGTGTTGGTGTAGTCTTGGCAAAAGTGAGCCACTCGCTTGTGTGAGCCACTCGCTTGTGGAGTACGTTATAGCTTAGCTTATTTTCTCATAGTTAGGAAAGAGAATTAAGTCAGAGCTGTAACAACATGCTGCCAACAATGACCCGATACCACTAGGGTACGGTCCAGCGACTCTTGACCATGGCCCTTGTCGCACAGCATAAGGTCGCACCAAACTGCCTGGAGATACCCGAGATTATTATTTAGACATGAGCGGGAGTAATGCTCGAGTTCAATCCCCTCATCGGGCGACCTCTGACATGCGCAAGCAAACCGTCGAGGTCTTCAAGATCCAGGCTCTTGTCATTGACTGTCATACCCAGTTTCTGCGCTTCGTCCTCCTCCTGACGCTTCAGCTGCGCAACCTCATCCTTAGTATGCGGATTGCTCACTTCCTTCGAAAGCCTGCCCGAATCCCATTGCACAAGTTTGTCAACGTCGTCAGCCGTCAGGTGGCCTTGGTCCTCAAACATTGGGGAGCGCTCTCTTGACCGTCCACGCGCTGCTTCAAGGATAGAGACATCGTCATCATTTGCAAGTTCGCTCCCTGCGCTGCTAGTGATGGACTCACCGCTTGTGTTATCCTGATGTGTTCTCCAGCGCCCGATCTCAGGAACGTCAGTGTCATCTTCTGTATCTGGCTCGATCTGAGGTGCGCTTTGCTGGTCACGAACATGTCCTGCCATTGCGCCGTCTCGTCGTGATACCCAGCGGCTGAGACTTCCGTCGTTACTGCTCTGCTCTTGAACGTCCTCTTCTAGACTTAGCTCTGACTCAGAGGCTGTTGACTCGTCACTGTAGCCGGTGTGCATCATTGAGGCTACTACTTCGGTCGTAATCGACTTGCGACTCGCATGGCGCACAAGCTCCTGAATGTCCGAGTGCCCTAAGCTCTCATGTCCACTGTCGTCTTTATTCGGTGATTTGGAGTTGCCCTCCTTTCGTTCACCATCGTTAAGTACATCTTTTCTCCTGACCCAGCGCATCAAATCGTCAACATCCGAGTGATTGATGCTTGACTCGTAGCCCTGGTGCGGCTTCCGTGAATCGCCGTGGGGCTCATCCTCGTCGTCTGTAGCTGTCGATGCGCGGCGCGTCCAATTGCCAGTATTCCCTTCGATGTTGACCATTTTTGAGTGTTCCTTGTTTGTCAGACGGCGAATATTCATACCGGTTCGACGGCCAGATCCACCTTTCTCATTCAGAGCCTTGTCCGAGGTGTGCGGTCTTTGGTAGCGCTGCCTCTTCTCATGTTGCATCTTCCAGTTGGTCGCTGTGTGCTCTCGCGTCTCTGCTTCTTGGTGACACTTCATCATGTTGCTCTTTATGTTGGCTTGGAAGAGGGTGCTGCGAAGAGATTGGAAGCGCGCGATGCGAGATCTAGGTTGTTTCAAGGACTTATCCAAGCGAGTACCAGTTCCAGAGCTCTTGGTCTCCTTGATCCCTGATTTGGTCGAAGTCTTGGAACCGTGCACAACGTTCGTCGTACCTGAGGTGGCTTGGCGCGTCTTTCGACTTAACGAATCATCAATCTTGGTGTCATGGCCCGAGAATCTAGACTCGTCGTAGTTCTCTGAACCAGAAGAACTATCTTCTTCGTCGCCTCTGTCACTACTGCTTGACTTGTCGTCGAATTGTAGATCGTCCAATATGCGTGAAACCTGTGGTGTGAGCATGCTTCCTTGCTCTTCAGGATGATCACCACTTGCGGGTGCATTTGATTGCGCAGGGAGTTCAAAATATGATGCCATAATTAGAGCAATGTGTGAATCATCTACCGTCTGCGGTAAATAAAAAGGATCGAAGTGATGACGATATAGACCTCGGGGCAATTTGTATGAACACGAGTTGGTGCTAACGGAAGGTCTTGAAAGTGGCGATTGAGGCTCGGCTGTCAAGGGTCCGCGTCAAGAGGCGGGGTCGAGGTCCCTGTTGGTCGCATGACAGCGTCATCGCTCTGAGCTAGTAATTGGCTCGTCATTACGCCAAGGTGGGTTACAACACAGTCTGATTCACATCTATTGGCTGGGCGCATTGGCCTCTTGGCTTCGACCGTGAGATCGACAATTGAGCACCTTTCTAATGGTCATCCTCATACTTACACTCGATCGAAGAAGTCATCGAGAAGCCGTCGAGAAGCCGTCGAAAAGCCACCATCGCAATTCTAAGGTGTGGAAAAGCATTAATGACGAACATTGTCTGCACTAGTGTTCGATTGAAAGGGAACGATCACTGACCCCAACGATGGCGCTCATCTCCAGCCGAACAGCCCGTTGATTCGAGGATGTCATTGAAACACAACCTACAGTCGGTACAACGCCCATCGACGCACCATTGCCATGCAGTTCACTGCACCTTCGCTTCATTCTGAGCAGTCAAGCTGCAAGGTCGCTCAAGCCTGGAAGATCCATCGTGGATGACGGTCTCCGAGCTTCAGGTCCTCCACACTGTCGTGAAACCCGTTCATCTCAGGATGTTCAGCCAGGAACTGCTGCTTCTGCTTATTCTCTTGCTTCAGTCTCCACCACAGTAGGTTGACCACAACGATGTTCATCACTAGGTAACCGAGCGCAAAGCTGTGACCCAGAACATAACGTGGCGCCGTGTTGGGCCTGTACAGCTGCGTACCCAAAACAGCACCAAGATTCCCAATTGAGATTTGCATGGCGTTGGCTGTAGCACGTTTCGTCTGTCCAGAGACATTGATAGCCGGCCAACTAAGCACCAGCGCGACTGATGGGTAGATGCCGATTGCTGCGAGAAACATGCCTGCGTACGAGACACCCGGCCTGGTCTTCGGGTTCTTATTGGCAAGTAAGATGATATAACCAATAACTGCAAACGCTGATGTGGCAGTAATAAAGGGACCACGCTTTTTGGTTTTCTCTGACCAAATAGCCCAAAAGATGGTGAAGATCGTAGCGACTGCGTAAGGTGGGATGGTAAGCAGTTGTGATTGAGCAGATGTGTAGCCCATATCACGTATGATGGTAGGCTTAGCGTTGTTAGCAAAAGTATCATTTAATTTCTGACATTCACTTACCAAGAACAGAGAGAGCGTGTATAAAGGCAGGCTCATGCTGTGGAAAGCAGCACCGTACAGCCAAACCTTTGGATCCTTGAGCGCATCCACCACATCGCCCCAGCGGAATTTTTCGTCGTTTGTCGAATCGCTGTCAGCTTTGAGCCTCGCCTGGACGAATTTGCGTTCCTCCTTAGAAAGCCATGAAACGGTATCCGGGTAGTTGGAAATGAACCAGTAGGCAGCCACCGCAATTATGATGGTAAGCAGACCTTCCTGCGAGCCTGTCAGATTTTGAACTCAAGATACTCGACAAATAGGTACGTACCAGGATGAAAATCCACCTCCAACCAGCGTAGTTTCCCACGCCCCGCATGTGGCTGATACCCCATGCTAGGATGCCACCAAAAGCACCTGCCAAAGAAGCGCAACTAAAAAAGAGCGAAATGCGGTATTGACGCTCTTCTCGTTTGTACCACATACTCAGGTAGTATACGACGCCCGGGAACAATCCAGATTCCGTTACTCCGAGACTGTGATGATCAGTTCACGACAGTCTCTGGCAGGGGTCTCAACTCACAAGAACCGCACAACGAAGAACCCAGCCTTATTCTGCGTCACACCCATCAGGGTTGCGACAATTCCCCATGCCACCGTCAAAGTTGGTAGCCAGAACTTGGGAGTCGTGCGCTTCAAGATGATGTTGCAGGGCAGTTCGAACAAGACGTAGCCGATAAAGTACAGCGTCAGACCAGTGAGGTACTCGTTGCCGGTCATGTGCAGATCGGTCGTGAGCCCTTCAATTCGCGCATTGGCGACGTTACTTCGGTCAAGAAAACTGAGCAGGTACAGAATTGATACTGCAGGGAGCAGTCTTAAGTCAAGCATGCGCAACAGCCTCTTCTCGTTGATCGTTCCTGGGAAATTTTCGAAGCCCGAGTCAGATGGAGTGGACGCGCCAGGCGCGTAGGCCTTGTGATCGTCAACGCGCTTCTCGTCAGTCAACATGCTGCAAACGTGTCGATCAAAAGGTGTTGGATAAGAGGTAGCACGACGGCGACAAGATATAGGTGCGGGACCACCTCAGCATTTTGGAAATGATGCAAGAAGGTGGATGTTGCAGGTCAACCCACCGGCGCCGTCATACTAATGCTGGGACAGCATGGTGTGAACAAACACCCGAGGGCTACGTTGACTGCCATTGGGCTGGCTCTAAACTCACCTCTGAGGCGAGATTCAATGCTTATTGACAAGACAAAATCGCTCAAAAAATTACTGAATTGGCAGGCGAATGTGCGCGATTGGATGGGCTGTCAGTGTTCGCGAAATCCCGGGGTGGGATGTCGTGATTACCGATCTGCACGGCTGGTCAGAGCTAGTCATTTTTGGATCGATGCCGCTGAGAGCATCGTCACTTCTTGGAATGAGTGCCACATGTTTGGCAGAACAAATGTCAAAAGGAGGCTAGTCAATGGCGTACGCAAGGAGAAAGCGTTGGTAACTAGGCTGCGCAAGAAGGCTAGAAGACTTAACAGTATTGCTGTCAGATATCAGACCCTGACCCGGCCAAGGTGATGATTGCAGGAAAGAACTGAACCAAGAGTCTTGTAACGTAGATTATCACCGAGCCGGCCATATCACCGAACCAGCCATTTTCTCTTGGCACAACTAACACAAGTTACTACAACTACAACTACTTACTATTAAATATTAACCTAGTATACTATGTGCTTATATTAGATTTAGAAGATGTTTCTATACCCTCCTAGCACGTTTGTGCGTTATGTCTAGTCTTGCTGCAGTTCCTACAGCGCTAAACAGTTAACTAAGCTCCTAGTTAACTACCTCTACCCTAAGTCTTCTTAGATAGCTAAGCTGCTACACACGCCTTAGCAGCTACCTGCGATGCTGCTAGGCCATACTTAAGTATGCCACCATGCTGAATCTACTTTCTCTTACGCAATTTTCTCTTAGTTATTACTACTAATTACTCTTTAAGCTCTTATATACAGGCCTTAATAAGGATATTTTTATACAGCATCTCTTTAGCCCCTTTTATAAGCTTTTAGAACCCCTCTTACACTGCACTTAGTAATTATTAGAAGGAGTTACTTATAAGCTTAGATTAAGACCTAAACTTATGTGTATTACTTAGCGTCTTAGATTGCCACAGCGTTTTAGGTAGAGGTACTGCTAGTAGGGTATGCAGCTGCACTTTAAGGCAATCTAATACTACCTATATATTAGTAGGAATAAGCCCTAATACCTTAAAGGCCTTTTAGTAGTTAACCTTAATAAATATATTAAGGAACACATCCCTAAAGGCTAGTAGGAAGCCTTCCTTATTAATATAGAAGATATAACGTACTCCACAAGCGAGCCGCTCACCCAAGCGAGCCGCTCACTTTTGCCAAGACCACACCCAACTTCACACAACTTGTAATGGTTCAACACAAGAACGCGAAAAAGCCCTCAAATGAAGCAGATATTCAGCTTGCTATTAAGGCTATCAAACGCGACGCAACACTCTCCCAGCGACGCGCTGCAAAGATCTACAGAGTGCCTCAAAGGACTCTTAGTGACTGACTGGCTGGAGCCTCTCCACAACGCGACTGCAAGGTCAATTTAATGAAGCTCACAAGCACTAAGGAGGATGTGATTGTTCAGCATATATTGAAGCTGGATGAACGAGGATATCCACCCCAGCTTACTGATGTGGAGGATATGGCCAACTCTCTACTCACTGAGCGCCACCAGCCTCCTGTTGGCAAGAACTGGGCTGCCAACTTTGTTAAGCGTCGCCTAGAGCTTACAGTCAAGTTTAATTAAAAGTACAACTACAAGAGAGCCCTCTGCAAGGATCCTAAGGTGATCTAGGGCTAGTTCCACCTAGTAGAGAATACTAAAGCCAAGTATGGTATCCTAGATAAAGACACCTACAACTTTAACAAGTCTAGGTTCATGATGGGCGTCATATCAACAGGAGCTGTTGTCATAGGCTCTGAGCGTTGAGGAAGGCCAAAGACAGTACAGCAGGGCGACCAAGAGTGGACCAGCATTATCTAGGGCATTAACGCGTCAGGGTGGAGTATCCCACCTTTTGTCATCTTCTAAGGCAAGCACCACCTCTCTGCTTGGTACAAGGAGCCATCTATACCTCACAACTAGGTCATTACTGTCTCTAAGAACGGCTGGACCAACAATGAGCTTGGCATCAAGTAGCTGAAGCACTTTGATGAGCACACAAAGGAGCGCACTGTTAGCAGCCATCGGCTGCTCATTCTGGACGGCCATGAGAGCCACAACTTAGTCAAGTTCCACCAGTACTGTGAGGAACACAAGATCATCACTCTGTGTATGCCTCCTCACTCGTCGCACCTATTGCAGCCACTTGACGTGGGTTGTTTTGCCCCAATGAAGAAGGCCTATGGTCGCCAAGCTGAGCTGCTGATGCGCAACAAGATTACTCACATCACAAAACTCAAGTTCTTACTATGCTTTAAAGGAGCTTTTAATGCCTCTATTACTAGGAGCAATATCTAGGGAGGATTTAGAGGTGCTGGCTTGGTCCCCTTTAATCTAGAGGCTGTAATATTAAAGCTTGAAGTGCGCCTGTGTACTCCACTACTACCTACTATAGATAAGAGTACGTGGCACTCTCAAACCCTACAGAACACCCTAGAATTTAGGTCGCAATCAAAGCTGATTTAAGAGAGGATCTAGCAACATAGGGATAGCTTACTAACTTTAATAGTTAATGCCCTTAATCAGCTCACCAAAGGCGCAGAGATGATGGCGCATTCACTAGTTTTAGTGCGCAACTAGGTCGCAGAGCTTCAAGCTGCCAATAAGGCCGCCACACGCTGTAAATTACACAAGAGGAAGCAGATCTAAAAGGAGGGGGCTCTCACTGTTAGTGAAGGTGTGCGCTTAACTACCCTAAAGGAGTTTAAAGCCTGTGGCGATGGGAAGAAGGCAAGCAAGAGGAGGCGCGTTTAACTAAGTACACAGTCTTCACAACGCTGTAGCAAGTATGGTGAGACAGGGCACAACGCGCGAACGTGCAAGAATAACGTGTAAGGTATTTCTAAATAATTTAGTGTACTATAGCCTGCAGTAGGACCTAAGTTGCTACTATAGTGTTGTAAGTTGTGTGAAGTTGGGTGTGGTCTTGGCAAAAGTGAGCGGCTCGCTTGGGTGAGCGGCTCGCTTGTGGAGTACGTTATTAGCATACTAAGTCTTAAATATATTAGGAGTACTTACACTTTAATAGTAAGAAATAGACTATATTAAGTAGCTAGAGGATGTGTAACAAGTAAGGTAGTAACCTAAACTATCACCGAGTGTCCCACATCACCGAGTGTCCCAAAACTTGCCAAGCCCTCTACCTACTCTCTCTCTCTAACATGCCTCAACTACCAAACGCGTTATTACTTAAACATAAAGGGAGGCTTTAGCTTACTATTAAAGCCTTGAAATCTAGACAATTCTAAAGCCACTAGGCTGCTGCAGAGGCATTTAACGTTAATTGCTGTACACTCTCTTGTTGCGTCTAAGGACTCACATTTCGCGCAGAAGCTGCCCCCAACTGCTAGAAGCTTACTGCGACTAAACAGCAGACAATTATCTAATACATACTCAACCTTAACTTGCAAGGATTTGCGCCCTAGCTGTGCAAGGTGGCAGATATGGCTGATAAACTGCTAGCTGTACGTGGTGGCAAGCCTATTAGCAAGTGCTAGGCTGATCGCTTTGTAACGCGCTCGCCTGAGCTTAAAATGGCCTTTAATTAAGCAAAGGATAGGCAGAGAATACTCTAGGAGGATCTAGAGATAATTAGCGCGTAGTTTAAGCTAGTAGAGGAGACTAAAGCTAAGTATAGCGTCTACAATAATAATATACATAACTTTAATAAGACTAGCTTCTAGATAGGCGTGATTGGCTCTATAAAGGTCGTCACAGGTGCAGAGAGACACGCCTAACCTGCGCTTGTTTAGCTAGGCAATTGCGAGTAGGTTACAGTTATCTAGAGCATCTGCGCTGCTAGGTACGCGACCCCACCCTTCATTATCTACAAGGGACGCGTCCACATCTCTGCCTAGTACAAGGAGGCTTTAATACTTTGTAATTAGAAGCTCTTAGTCTCTAAGAATAGCTAGACAAATAATACACTTAGTCTAGAGTAGTTAAAGCACTTTAACACGCATACAAAGACGCGCTAGGTAGGGGGGTACTAGCTGCTTATTTTAGACGGCTATAAGAGCCACCTTAACTAGTATTTCAAGGACTACTGCCTTAAACACAAGATCCTAACCCTCTGTATGCCCCCCCATTCATTGCACATCCTCTAGCTGCTTGATGTGGTCTGCTTCTTGCTGCTAAAGCGCAGGTACTCCCAGCGCGTTAGAGACTTGGCACGCTAACGCGTCTTCTATATTAACAAAGAAGGCTTCGTCCCTGCCTTTAAGGACGTGTTTTTTAACATATTTATAGAGTAGAACTATTAAAAGGCTTTTAAGGCAGCAGGGCTAGTCCTAATTAATGCGCAGGTTGTATTAGATCGCCTTAAAGTGCAGCTGCGTACCCTGCTAGAACCCCTCCTCCTAGAGACGCTATAGTAGTTAAAGACTCTAAGCAATACCTATAAGTTTAGATCTTAATTAAAGCTTGTACGCAATTCCTTTACTTACTTGCCTGTTACAGCTTAGGCTAGTTTCTCCTAGCTTATAAAAGGTGGTGAGCTGATGCTGCATAAAAATGCGCTTCAACATGCTCAGATCTATAAGCTTGAAGAGCAATTAGCAGAGATAACCAAGCGAAAATCGCGTAAGCGCAAGCAGATTCAGCAGGGTGGTACTATGGAGTATGGGACTGCTGCAGCGCAGGTAGCTGCTAAGGCATCTATAGCGCCTCAGCAATCTAAGAAGGCTTGTGGTGGTAGTGGTCAAGAACTAGCCTAACCAGCTCTTCAGCGCTGTAGGAACTGTGGTAGGACTAGGCATAATGCGCGAACGTGCAAAAAGGATATAGAGGTGTCCTTAGAATTAGATGCTAGTACAACGTACGCAGGCTCCCTGTTTAATAGCGATGAAATTAAGGA